GAGGGTCGGGGCAGGGGGGCGAGGAAAGCGACAGGGGGAGCGGGGTGCGAGCTCGGGAGCCGCCGCCGTTTCCCGCCTGGCCTCGCCGCCGCGCAGCTCAGCCCGGCGAGGGGGCCTCGGACGCGTCGATGTCCTCCAGCGGCCGGCAGCTGGTCTCCTCGACGAAGGCGGCGACGAAGCCGACGCCCGCCAGCAGCACCCCCGCGAAGCCGAACCAGGCGCCCGCCATGCCCAGCCCCGCCTCCACGAACGGGAAGGCGCTGGTCACCAGCCCGTTCACGACGCGGGACACGAAGAAGGCCAGGGCGCTGCCCTTGGCGCGCTCGCGGCTGCCGAAGACCTCGGACACGTACACGTAGACGACGCAGCCGAGGCCCACGGAGAAGGCCCCGGTGCACGCGCAGAGGGCGAGCACCTTGAGCCAGGCGGCGGCGCGCGCGAGGTAGCAGCAGCCCAGCAGGCCCATGGCCCCCGACATGAGGCCGCTGCTGGCCAGCAGGAGCGGCCGCCGCCCCACGCGGTCCACCAGGGCCAGGGGCACGGCGAGCAGCGCCAGCTTCGCCAGGATCATCGCCAGGGACCCAGAGAAGGCCTCCCTGCGCCCCATCTCGGCGGACAGGATGAGGCTGCTGTAGTAGATTATCACGGTCTCGCCGCTGAGCATCTGCAGGCTCGCGACGCCGACGCCGCTCACGAGCGCCCTCCTCTTCCGCGGCGCCGTCGGCCTGAGCACCTCGAGCCAGCCCGCCGCCGGGTCTGCCTCTGGGAGGGGCTCGAAGTGCACATAGGGGAACGAACAATGACATAAACATAAAAACTCGAGGTCTGCGCGCATTTCTCGGATCGGCGCTGGCATTCCCTGGCGGCGCCTCCGGCGCCGCCCCTGGCGCGCTCCGCGCGCCAGGGAGGAGATTCCAGCGCGGATCCAAGAAATCCGCGCGGACCTCCGAGTTTTTATGTTTATTCCCCAATCAGAGCTTGCCTCTGTAGGGGTCCTAGCGGATTCATATGACTAGGTTAGGGGTTGCCGCCAATTTCGGCGGCACGCCCGGGGGCCCGGGAGCCCAGGTGCCCGGTGCCCTGGTGCCCGGGTGCCCGGGTGCCCGGGTGCCCGGGTGCCCAGGTGCTCGGGTGCCTGGGTGCCCAGGTGGCCAGGTGCCCAGGTGCCCAGGTGCCCTATAGCCCTATAGCCCTATAGCCCTATAGCCTTACAGCCCTATAGCCGTATAGCCATATAGCCCTCTTGTACAATAGCCATATAGCCCTATAGCCCAATAGCCCTAATAGCCCTAATAGCCTAATAGCCCTAATAGCCCTATAGCCCTGATAGCCCTATAGCCATATTGCCTAATAGCCCTATAGCCCTATACCCCTATAGCCCTATAGCCCTATAGCCCTATGACACAAATAGCCCTATAGTCCTATGACACAAATAGCCCTATAGCCCTAATAGCCGTATAGCCCTATAGCCCTATAGCCCTATAGCCCTGTAGCCCTATAGCCCTATAGCCCTATAGCCCCATAGCCCAAAAGCCCTATAGCCCTATAGCCCTATAGCCCTATAGCCCTGTAGCCCAAATAGCCCCATAGCCCAACAGCCCTATAGCCCTGTAGCCCTGTAGCCCTATAGCCCTATAGCCCTAATAGTCCTGTAGCCCTAATAACCCAAAATACCCTATAGCCCTATAGCCCTGTAGCCCCATAGCCCTATAGCCTATATGCCTAAAAAAAATGATGATTGGGTTTTTTCTCCTGTATCATGCCATGCTTCGTTCCCTTATGTACACCAAGTCATCGGGTCGGCCAAGGAGCTCGGCGTACGGGCGCCCGGATGCCCGGGTGCCCAGATGCCCGAGCGCCCAGGTGCCCAGGTGCCCGGGTGCCCGGGTGCCCGGGTGCCCGGGTGCCCGGGTGCTCGGGTGCCTGGGTGCCCGGGTGCCCAGGTGCCCAGGTACCCGGGTGCCCTGGTGCCCTATAGCCCTATAGCCCTATAGCCCTATAGCCCTGTAGCCCTGATAGCCCTGATAGCCCTATAGCCCTAATAGCCCTATAGCCTTACAGCCCTATAGCCCTATAGCCTTATAGCACTATAGCCCTGATAGCCCTATAGCCCTATTGCCTAATAGCCCTATAGCCCTATACCCCTATAGCCCTATAGCCCTATAGCCCTGTAGCCCTAATAGCCCTATAGCCCTAATAGCCATAATAGCCCTATAGCCCTATAGCCCTGCAGCCCCATAGCCCTATAGCCTATATCCCTAAAAAGATGATGATTGGGCTTTTTCTCCTGTATCATGCCATTTTGCGTTCCCCTATGTACACCAAGTCATCGGGTCGGCCAAGGAGCTCGGTGTACGGGCGCTCCAGCCTCCAAACCTGTGGGGGCGCTGAAGCGTCCATGCACCCGTCTCCTTCGCCAGATCCGTGGCCCCTTCGCCGGCGAGACGACGCGGTGTACACACCGAGCCCCTTCCGAGCCTCTGCGAGAGACCACGACGCCCTGGCCCTCTCCACCTCCGCCTCGTCGCAGACGCGCCTCAGCGCCTCCACGGCCTCTAGAAGACTCCCAGGTGGGGTCGGAGTAGATGGGGTCGGGGGATCGCGCTGCATCGCCGATACATCTCTGATGCATCGATGATGCATCGGCGACGTCGGCGATGCATCGGCGACGCCAGCGTGGAGAAAATCGAGCTCCACATCCAGCCGCACCGACGATGCATCGGCGCTACCATACGCCACTCATGATCGGTCCGAAGGCTGTGCCAATCCAGAGCTCGGGACAAAAAGAAACTTGGCCCGTGCCCTCGGCACCCGAGTTTTATATGCGATCGTCTTACGCAGTTTGTTGCGTGGACAGGCATGGAGCTCGGGAGCGGCCAAGAGGGGGGTGTCCAAGAGGGGGGTGCAAATCATGACCGGCGGCATGTGCGCGGCCCAGCGGGGGGGCCAGGGACGTAATGAAACAAGAAGAGGCGCCATGAAATCTGGGGAAATATCATGGCCCCCGCCATGATATCCAACCCCCCCTAGTCATCACCCCCCTCTTTTCCGCCCCCGAGGCAAGGAGGGGAGGGAAGGCGGAGGAGGTTGAACGCCCGAATTGGCCGGGATAACTGCGGTCCAGGGCAACTTGGCTTTGGGCCCCCGGGGCGCGAACCCGCAGCTGCCCCTGACCGCCCCCAGCACTAATGCTTCCGGAGGGTTGGACGCCCAAGTGATCTGGGATAATCGCGGTCCGGGTAACTCCGGCTCAGCTCCCCGAGGCGCGAACCTGTCGAGAGTTACCGCTGACCACCCCCAGAATGACGCTGTGGAGCTCCAGGGAGGGGAGGGGAATAGAAGAAGAAAAAACGGCAAAAAACACACACTGTCGACGGTCCACGCGGATTTCTTGGATCTGCGCTGGACCCCCCTCCCTGGCGCGCGGAGCGCGCCAGGGGCGGCGCTGGAGGCGGCGCCGCCAGGGGGGTCCAGCGCGGATCCGAGAGATCCGCGCGGAGCGCCAAGAGTTTATGCTTATGCCGTTTTCTCTTCCTCGATCTCTCAGATCACGGCGATGCGGCGCGATCCTCCGGCCCCGTCCACTCGGGCCCCCCCTGGGAGGCCCAGGGCCTCGCGCGTCCGCCCCTGCAGGCGGAGCCACCGGGGCGACTCGGGCAGGCCGCCGCACGCCAGGAGGGCCGCCGCGCAGGCCAGCGGGAGCACCGCGGAGAGCAGCACCATGAGCCGCCAGTCGGAGTCGCTCGAGCCCGTGGAGCCCAGCACCTGAGAGGGGGCAGCGAAGAGGGGAGGCCTGGCCCAGGGGGGGAGGTGGAGGAGGAGGAGGAGGAGGAGGAGGAGGAGGAGGAGGTAGGAGGTAGAAGGTAGAAGGTAGGAGGAAGGAGGAGGAGGGGAGGAGGAGGTAGAAGGTAGGAGGAGGAAGGAGGAGGAGAGGAGGAGGAGGAGGAGGAGGAGGAGGAGGAGGTAGGAGGTAGGAGGTAGGAGGTAGGAGGTAGGAGGTAGGAGGAGGAGGAGGAGGAGGAGGAGGAGGAGGAGGAGGGGGTGGTAGCATTGGGCTCGAAGCGGCGAGCCGTCGCCGACAGATCGGCGGCGGGCCCCCCATGGCAAGCCCATCGGGCTGCTGCTGGCGACGAATGGGCGACGAGGGGTCGACACGTCCTCCCCCTGAGCCTGTCCCCCCGCAACGTGGCCCCGGGGCACCAGGTAGTTCCCCCCGGCCGCGGCCAGCATACCGGCGTTGAGGAAGAAGGCCTCGAGGCCCACCATGGCGCCGCGGCTGTGCGCCGGGGAGAGCTCCGAGAGGTAGAGGCTGACACAGACGAAGCCGGCCCCGACGCCAGCGCCGTGGAGCACCCGCCCGGCCACGGCGGAGACGACACCCGTGGAGAGGGCGAGGAGCACGCTCCCGACCACGAGGAGGGCGTAGGTGGTGGCCAGTCCCAGCTTCCGCCCAAGGAGGTCCGCCACACGGCCGCCTGCCAGCGCGCCGAGTGCGCACGCGAAGCCGAAGACGCCGACGAAAGCGGAGGCGCCAACCTTGTCGAGGTCCAGCGACTCCTTGATGAGCACGAGCACGCCGCTGACCATTCCGATATCATACCCCTCCGCGGCTGCACTGACGCACGTGAGAGCTCGGACTGCTAGCAGCGTGCGCCTCTGCTCGCCGTCTGGCTCTGGCGCCCGCCGAAAAGGCGCACAATCAGCAGCAGATCGGACTACAGGCTTCTGATCTGCGCCGATAGTGCCGTAGTCCATCGCACTGGCGGCCGCCAGCGCATTTCGCACGCCTTACGCTACAGTAGTATGCTTCATTTGGTGGTCGGTCCAGCTCGCTCGGGCACTGAGGACGTGGCAAGAGAGACATCCAAGAAGGGCAAGGACGGCGAGAATACTGATGACGAGAGTGCCCATTGATGGGTCTGGAATAGATTCGTCCCCTTTCTCCCCACCTCTCCTTCCCTGGGGAGCATCTGGGGAGCGTGGAAGAGGGGGCAGAAGAA